AGTAAAGTCATTTCCTTTAAATGATCCACTATTTTTGTCAAGTTTGAATATGGATGCCTATTCTTCCTTGAGACTGAAGGGATGATAGTTCATATTGAGGTTTTCATGCTCAACTTTTTAAAATTTTCAATTCTTTTTCCGGCACAAATTAATTACAATTGAAAGAGTTTTTATACTGGATTTTAAAACAACAACAACAGCAGCAATAATACAGTACCTTAAAAGTTTACTATGTACTTTCTTCACAATGTCACTGAGAGTGTGATAAAATGTAAATATTATTATCCCCATTTTATAGAGGAAATTGAGTCACAAAGAGCTTAAGTAACTTGTTTAATATTACATAGTGAGGAACAGTGGCAGCATTTAAACTCAGATCCTCTGACTCTTAGTCTTTCCACTTTGATGTACTGCCTCTCTACTGCACATTTTATAGTCCAGTAGAAAAAGTGCCAGACTGAGAAACCTGCATTGACCATATTGCCATCACTTAGCTTTTCTGGGTCCTTGTTCTCTTATTGCAAAATGGAAGCTGAACTTCATGATCTCCAAGATCCCTAGAATTCTCCTTCATTTGGATTTTGATGACCAGTTGTCCATGAATTGGTTTGGTGCCAAATGATTTAGTGGGAGACAGTTTTTTTTTTCTTTTGGTGAGGCAGTTGGGGTTAAGTGACTTATCCAGGGTCACACAACTAGTAAGTGTCAGGTGTCTGGTCTTGAATTCAGGTCCTCCAGACTCCAGGCCCAGCAGTCCATCCACTGCGCCACCTAGCTGCCCCATAGACAGAATTGAGTTATTTGTATAATAGCAACAAAGGCCAACAAGAAATAGTTTGAGTGCATAACAGCTTAAGAATTGGAGTTGTATCCTCAGAAGGTATTTGTGAAAGCCAGATAACCAAGAGAGAAATTTCCCATTGGTATTGTGTAAATACTTTGTTGAGAAGTCTTGAAGGTGCAGTTTTCTGATAATTATAGTTAAGTATAGTAAGATTAAGATCTTCAAGTGGTAAAGTGTTTACTTAGAGGAAAAAATTGTCGACATAATTTGTTGATGCCTTAAAGTGTGCTAAGCAGGTAAATGTTTTCTTTTCACAAGAGTTCAAAACTGTTAAATAGAAGCACTTAGTTTGTAGGGATCGTTTGGCAAGATACAGTTATTTGTTGCCCTTTAATGGAGATTCCTTAGGGTCTTTAACTTCTAATAGTGCCTTAAGTAAAGTTGCAGGGTTGACAATTTCATTTTAAGAGTGAGCGATTTGTGTAATAGTGTGGCATCTCCAGCAGTGAAGTATTTTGACATAGTGGGAATGAGCAAAAATAGGGAGAACAAGTACCCCCTGCTACCAGAAATCTGTATAGTATAGAAATGTGGCTGCAGAATTTGGGAGGTTTTTGCACGAATATCCCAGGACCTATGCTCAGTTTGAGAGGGAGGGAACTAAATGCATGACTTTTGACAAGGATTGAATATATATTTTGAATTTGGCATTGACTATTAAAGCAACATTTTTGTAGATGCATTTCTAATTATAGACAAATGTTATGATCAAGCTTTCTTCATTAGATAAACTGATGCCAACCAAAATGTGATGTTTTTATTATTGATTTGGAAAACTTATGCTGAATGAGACTGGGAATTCTCTCTTGAGACAAATATTTTTTAAAAATTTCCTAAAATGGCTACATAGTTAAACTTAGTGCACTAGATTTTGGGGTATTAGAACTAGAGATTTTAAAGGCTTTTTAAAAATTTGGTGATATTCATCTATTTTTATATACATTAATTGGTGTTGCATTGTTTAGTATTTAAAATTTTATTCATCTTTGTCTATGAAAATAAATTTATGTGATGCACAGCTCTTCATAAAATACATTGACTGTAAAATAACCTTTTTAAGGGTGGTGCTAAATTATTTTTAAAACGCGTAATCAATTTTAAATTACCTTAGTAATCTTGGTAATATTAGTTGAGAAAATGCAAAAATATCTTATTTTTTGATATATTTGTAAAATGCATGTTTTGTATGAAGTATTTCTAATTTTTTTCAATGTAGGATTTTTAGGGAGGAAATGCTAAATTACCTCATGCTGAACTTTATGCCAGATCAATCAATCAATCAACAAATATTTGTTTACCTCAGAAGTCATGATCAGTGATTTACTTTTTAGGACTCTGATGTGGCTACTTTTAGGGAATGATATTTATAACCCTAATTTTGTTAGAAAAAACACTCCTAAGTTACATATTTGTATCATATTTATATTACTTTTGTTTTTGCCCAATTTTATGAAATTCAGAAACCTAAAACCTAAAACATTCAATAATTTTAGAATATTTCTGTATTTTTGAGTATTTATAAAAGTAGAAAAGGAAAACACGAATGTTCCTTCCCTACCCCTGCAAGTCAATTTTAATAAAGTAACTAAAACTCATTACCTTGTTTTGCTTTTTCCATCTGAAAATGGAAATTTTAGAATTTGTCGTATTAAGTGTTATCTTTAGATAGTTTTATGGTATATGTTTGGTCATCAAATTAAGTGCAACATTTATGTTGCTTATTTTAACTTTATAGAAGCATCAAGTAGGAGTTACTGATTTCCTAGTTCATAGTATGAGGTTGCTTTTTTTTCTTTCTTGGTTGAATAACTGAGAAAAAAAATTATTATTGCTGATTCAAGGAAAGATTCACAACTTCCTGAATGACAATGTACTGTTGTAGCCATAAGAACTTTACAAATAAAATTGGTGATCATGATACTGTCCCAGAAAGTTTGCAATTATATTAAATCATTTCTTCCTCCTGCATACTCTCTGCTCTACCTTCAAGCATGGGCACACCACAAGGTGAATTGAGCAGAATATTTACAAATTGCAGTTTATCCATTGGATGATTTCTTTGACTTAATCTCTCTCCTTAGAGCTGTATGAATAAAATAATACCTACATAGCAACATGCATGCCCACTTGGAGCAACTCACTTTGTGATGCCTAGCTATGTCTTGGCTACTCTCATATACTGAAAAACAGTGTGGCCCTTCCCTCCCAATCGGTGAAAAACACTAATAATTCCCTATCACCGAAGTCTAGAAAAAGTGGTGCAATTATTCTTATTCTGATTGAGTGGCTGTACTTTCTACTTATAGTAATTTGACTATAACTGGTAAATACAGAATTTGGATGTGATGTGCTACATTAAAACTACCTTGTTGTCCCATCTCTGCTATACTACAATGTGGTGGAACAGATAAAGAGTGCTTTAGTACTGAGTAGAAACCGGACAATGTAGGACTTTCTTTTGAGAAACTTTAGAAGATGGAGGAGAGGGTTCATCATCATTCCTTGGGATTAGTTGTTTATCTAATTTACACTAAACATATACTCTCTCACCTCCATCCCTATTACCATGTGTTGTATGAAAGCAAGCTGGGCTGTACGTGGGATGGCATTACTTGGGAACTGTTTATTTGGTGTCCATAAAATTAAGACCTGGGGTTTTTTTTGATTGATGAACTCAAACTAGTTCTCCCAAATGAACTTGGGCTTACTTTGTAGAAGTTTGGGCCCATAAAAATGTAATTAGTATTAAAGAACCCCTTAGGAAGCAAACAACTGGGTACAAAAACACGAAGTGACTAAGCTGTGCTTACTTTTCCTTTTAAATATCTTATAATGTTATAAATATCCCTAATGCTAACAAGGGCTACATTGACCTATGTTCACTTTGCCTCATATGCTTATAACTGGTTGCTTTATCTAGACTACCTGGTAATTGGTTCATGGTGAGCCATAGGAAATGCCAGAATACAGTGTTTTTGTACAACCCATTGTTAGATCTCTCCCCTAGCTGGCTTGTGAATGATCATCAGACACAGATTTTAGTTTCGTGCTGTTTGAACTTCCTGATGAATTTTCTAAAGTGTATTTTTTAAGTAGATACAAAACAGGTCAGTTTGATTATTTAGGTTTAGTATGAGACAAGGTCTTGAGACAAAACACCCCACATTTTGTTTAAGTAGCGTAAAGTAAGTCGTGGTTCACAGTTTTTTTTTTGTTTTTTTTTTTTAAACGTACATTTGATCAAACGTCTTTCACAGGCAAGGAAGTTATGTAGTGGTAGTGCAATCAATTGCCTTAAAAAAAAACTTAGCAGCTATTGTGTACTAAACAATAGGGCAGCAAACATCTTTAGATACTAGAATCTCCTTTTATTGATAATGACTGGTGACCACGTCTCTAGGGTTAAAAGTACTAGAGCTATAAATGTAGACTATTAAGTGCTTTAGAATTTGTTACACATGGGGCTTTGCCTGTGATGAAAGGCAACCATTTCTAGGTTGAAGAGAGCTTTCAAAGAGTCTAGGCTGCTAATGAGAACCTATTAGGAGAGCAAAGGATGAAGGGTGAGCAGTCTCATTTGTGCATTTTACATTTTCCCCCTAGCATTTGGCCCAGTAAGCCAACTTTCAATAAGAAACAAGTTATTGTCCTGGGATTTTTAACTATAACATATCTCTGGATTTCTCTTTTCAACTGATTTGAACAAAGATTCTGCAGCACAGATATCTTGCTATATCTGTACTAGGCACTATATCTGCATTCATGACCACACAGGGACTGTTCTACTGCTTGTGAATTATCAGGGTCCTTTGTTTCTTCCTCCTCCTGATGCCTGCCTTTGGACTATTCTACTGTTTCTAAACTCCTAAACTGGAAAAAGGGTTGGAAGTAGAAGAGGAAACTCAACCTAATTAATTCTGCTATTTAGCAGCCTGGTTAACATTTTTGGTAGGTTTCAGAAGTTAAGCTAATTGGCTAAGAGTAGGTACCACCAAGGGCCTGCTAAAATGATGTAAGCATCGTTGCCTGTGAATTTTTGCCAAATACCCTGAGATAGTCATCCAAGGTAGCAAAAAAAAAAAAAAAAAAAAGACTTTTTAAGGAGACATTGGAGGATGATGTCTCTAACAGTACTGCATGTTCTAATCCTACACAGCCTTGTCAGCACTGACTATGGGCCTTAGTCCTGGAGCGGAATTTGAACCCACAACCATCAGGCCCGGATGTGAGTATACGCTATGATCCACCTACTGGTAGTAGCTCCTTCTATATGAAAATAGATAGCCAAAGATGCTGTACATAGAAATGAACATTTTTTTAAATCAGCCCTGCCTCAACCACCCTTCTGGCCTCTCCCTCCCAAAAAAAATCTGCATGCACTCCAACAAGAATCCACATTATTTAGTAAAAATAACTTGGTAAGTTAGGGAATAATGAATGAGTTATTTATAGCATAACCTCAAAATCAATCTTTTGGGGTCATTGTGCTAAGGAAAGTAACACTGCTTGTGCTCAAGTGTTTACACTTAATGAGTTAGCAGCTCATAATATTACCAGGTGTTCTGCTCAAACAGGACTTGCATTCTCCTTTTTCCTCCAGCATTGGAAATGTAACACTGCAAAACCCAACTTGTAGCTTTGTAATGAAGGCAGTATTCAGCTCATACTGGATACATTCCTTTATGCCTGTGAAACTGTGAGAGGAGTCAGGAAGTCCAAGTTGCCCTCACCAAATGCTGTTTTAGACTGTAAGGCAGGGTGCCTCACAGGACTGCTTTCTGCGTGGAGCAAACAAAATTTCAGATAAGGGAGATATTTAGAGTTCTGCTGAATTATATTTTCATTTAGTATCATATTTTTGAAGAGAGAAAAGTATTAGGATGAATAAAATGTGAAACCAGTATTTCCAAATGTGTATTTTTATACTGGTGAATATATAGTGAATAACAGGTGTTAACCTATTTTATCTTCCTTTTATATTTGTAATTTTTAAAAAAATTTCCTTAGCCAGTAAACATTTATTAAGTACCTACCATGTGTTAGGCACTGTATTAGTGCTGGGAATAGAAATACAACTAAAATAAAGTTCCAGTCCTTGAGGAGCTTAATAGGGAAAGATAACACATAAAAGGAAACTGACAAGAGGGTGAGGTAGAGAAGGTATCCATGATGGGCTTATAGTTCCAAAGAAGTCCAAAAGCAAGGTAGCTTGGAAAATAGTGGGAAATAGGGGCAAGAGTGGGACAAGGAACTGTTCTGAGCTTGGAGCCTGCGGCCTGCCCTTCAGTCAAAAAGTCCAGTCAGAGGGGTGGAGGGTACTGAGGAGATGTGAGTACCAGGCAGATTCAATCTTGTAGCATAATGAAATTTCCCATTGATGAGTTTCCTGGGGAAGGAAGACATCATGGCAATATCCAAAGAAGTCTAAAAACAGTATAACTGGTGATAAATGGGGAGAAAACCTATGCTGAGTCCCACGTGTAGCATGTTCATTCATTTTTATGTGCTGAGGTACCAGAGAACTACATCAAAACTACAGGGGAGAGGAGATGACCAGCATTTGAACTATGGGCCCTGACCCTGGGCTGTTGCTGTTTAAATGTATATCCAGACCATTTTAACTGAAAGTACCACTTCCATTACAAAACATTCAGTAATAGATGCCTTAAAAAACTATCTTTTGAGTAGAGACACATATTCAGTTGTTAATTGACAAAAGCATGTGAAACTTGAACCACCAGGGAATTGGTTAGAGATACTGTTCGGTCCTTTGTATCTGTCTTTTTCTAGTCCAAATGACTATAAACTCTTGTGCAGAAACATGTATCAGAAGCCTCAAGGGGCTCATCAATTCATAAGCATTGTTAACAACACTGTAGGGATTGGGGCACAAAGATCATTTTAGGCTTATTTTATAGCCGTCTCCCCAGAGAGTTAGCCCCTGACGGTTTGGAGAGCAGAACTTGTTGGCCTCAGCTATTTCTATGTGCAGGGCCAAGTTACAGTTTCTCCCTATCGGGACGTGGATTATAAGACTGGATCTGGACTAAGATTTCAGGCTCCTGTATTGAGGTCAGCTGTTTCTTAGTTTGATTTTGAACACAATAATTTCCCTTTCTTTCCCCTTAAGAAACTTGAAAGAAGTTAACTGATAGAAGCTGGTTCTGGGAAAAAAAGACTGCTTAAAATTTGTGAATGTTTGACATAAGAACAGGAGACTTTACAGAACAACCATAAGGGGAATAAAGTCATGTTAATCTTCTGAATGAAAATGTAAATGGAGACTATCATCTCAGGGTTGAGGGTTCACCAAAAAAAAAAAGTTTGGATGTACGAAAGGTAATGTATTTGCTCTGCTTACTATTTTTCAGTAAATGAATTCACGGTGATTAGAAAGAAGTTCAAGTGCCCATATTGCAGTTTCTCAGCTATGCACCAGTGTATCTTGAAGAGACACATGCGATCCCATACAGGCGAGAGGCCTTACCCATGCGAGATCTGTGGGAAAAAATTTACCCGGCGGGAGCACATGAAGCGGCACACACTGGTGAGTAGAGAGAGACCTATGGAGAGGTTGTTCTTCCTTTGGAATTGCTGCAAAGGCAGGGAGCCCTATCCCTTTTTACTTCCTACCCAGATTTGGACAGAGGGAAGAGATCTACAATTCCATTCACTCCCTTTTTCCACCCCCTAAAGTTTTAATTATTTGTGTATTTATTGATTGAGGGCTACAAGGGACTTACGGGGTCATCTAGTCCTAAACCCTCTTGTTTTAGACAAGAAAACTGAGGCTCAGAGACTTGCAAAGGTAGGAGGTAGCTGTGCCTGGATGTAAACTCACATCTTCTGACTCCCAGTCAAGTGCTCATTCTGCTTCTCACGTTGCTTTGAATTGTCCAAACTATGAGACATGCTGATTGGGAGCTCTTTAACATGCAGCATCTATCGTCCAGTAGCTAGAAAGGTCACTAACTCTCTAATACACTTAGCAGGTATTATCATATATTAATGTGGTAATTGGATCCCCCCCTTTCTTGTACATGTAGTATCCAGAAAGACCACTCCAGCTTCAAGGCATTCTGGAGGTCCACATCCATTCAAAACTGTAGTTTATGAGCTTCCACAATGTACTTACTTTTATTAATCAGCCAGAGGATACAATTAGTTTGGAGCAAAAGCATTTAATGAATAGAATAGTAACAGAAGAAGCAATCAAATATTTTTTCCATAAAGCTGGAGTGCACTCTCCCACAAATACCATACCGTCAGTATGAAGATTATACATGCTAAGGAAATAGGTATGGGCGGGACAACTTACACCTCCAACATTGAAGGGCTAATCTTCATTTTCCGTTCCTGTCACCCACTCCTATCAGAGAAAATTTTTCAATCCCTGCAAATTATATGGGATAGACAAAGATACTTGTGAACATAGAACTCACACTTCGAAATTAATATATAGCAGAGGTAAATAAATGAGTATATCACATAATTACCAGCAACCATAGGATAATGCACATATAAGCACCTAATTCAAGAGATTCACATTAAAATTGCATGCAGTAGCCATAGTGTTTGCAATAAACACACAATCCTTCACATATAATCACAGCATATGTGACAGCATTGCATATATAAATCCTGGAATACAAGTCTTATGCAGTATATGACAGATAGCACATATAACACACCTGCAGAAACACAGCGATACATATATAGCAATAGTTTATGCCCACAATGCATATTAGTATAGATATTAACAACATATAAATCAATGCAGTAGAATATAAGGGCAATATATGTGTGTGTATATGTATGTTATGTGCATTGTAAAAATGTTCATTATCTGGGCACGAGTAACCACTTCTTTTTTTCCCAAAGCATCATAAGTAAACTCAGTCACTAGCTGAAAAGGCCTAATTACCCTTTTCCATTGTCCCTTGGGCTTCTAGATGGCCTAGGCCTAACCATCATCATCTGTTGACCTGTTGGCTTGAAATAATCCTAAATTTGTATATGTCCCAATCTTATTATCATTGTCTCCAGGGACTGTGGGCATGCATACTTTTCACTAGGGGCCTATACGCTTGAACCATTGGGCTAGAAAGGGGCTGCTTCTGGGCTTAGCCCTCCCCATCCTGGCCCTGCCGTCAGAGGTTCCTTTGGAGCCAGAATAAACTCGGCTGAGTTTCCTTGCTCTCTGGTACATAACAGCACTCAGTTTCTTCTTCATCTGAATCATTGTCCTTTGAGTCATTATCTGGTTCTAACCATATTTCTGTAAATGCTGAGTGGGCTTTAAAAGCTTAGATAGAGCTGGTCCCAAATAATCCTGACATACCAGAGATCTTTCCTGCTTCTGAGCTTCCCAGAGCTAAGGAGCTCTTGCCATTGACCATGACTTCCTAATAGAACTTCAACTTCATAATAAGATAGCCCAAATATGGGTAATCTTTTTTCAGTCACAAGAGCCTAGGCCTTGCATAGGCTATAGAGGTATCTTTTGTAAATGTCTCTTTTAGAATAACTGTCCTATAATGGTCACTTGAGATCCACTATTCAGAATGTTAAGATGAACTACACCTTCGTTTCTCAGTCACTAGGTTTTATCAATCTAGGTAGAAAGGGGTCATAAATTCTTGGTGATGAGGTCAGACTTAGAATCTTCAGTATCTGGAATGATCTCTGTCCCCGACCTCACCTTGATTTCCTGAAGCCAGTCTACTCTCATTCACAACCCTGCCAGGCCTTGCTCATGGCTTCCATGAGGTAGAGTCTTAGGACACTCCACCTCCTGCCTTTTGACTGGGCTTCTGGATATCCTCCAGGCCTCCTTGTTCACCTTCTAGAAGTCCCAAGATACACTGCTTCTTGACTCCTTAATAAGTTTCTGGATGCTCCTGGGACATAGTACCACCAGGCCCTTGCATGGTATCAGCTGTAGGACATAGCAGTCGTTGCCTCCTGGCCAGGGACATACCACCTCTCCCTGTGACTACCATGGTGCAGGCTTGGGGATTTCTCCTAGGACAGAGAAACACAGGGCTTTGTCAGAAACGTAAGGGCCAGCCTTGAATCTTCCAGGAACACACCTTCTTCTGTGGAACCGACTCTAATTCTATACCATCCTCTGCTCTCAAGTTGTTCCCTTGTCCTGCTGCCAGTGGTCACCTTGCCAAGTTCCAAATCTGGTTTCCCCTTACCTTAAGGAAAAATACTAACTTATAGAATCATAGAATGTTAGAATTGGAAGAAATTACAGAGGATATCTAGTCAAATCAATATCTGAACAAGGATCTTTTTCCTGAAAATTTGTGGTGAAAGGGAGCTCACTACCTCCCAAGACATCCTATTTCACTTCTGATTATTTGTGTGTTTCTTTTTTTTTTTTGAGCAAAATCTGCCTCTCTCTAGTATTGCAATATGCAATATCCATTATTCCTAGTTCTCCCTTCTGAGGCTGAGCAGAAAAAATTTAATCCCTCTTCCACATGACAGCTTTTTATATACTTGAAGACTTATATTTTGTCTTCCTTAATTCTTTTCTTCTCCAAGCTAAATATCTCTAGCTCCTTCAGTCATTTCTCATATAGTATGATCTTGAAGTGCTTCATCATCATGGTCGCCTTCCTCTAAACATTCCTTACTCTGGCACTCAAGGTCCTCCAAGGACTGACTCTAAATCTACTTTTCCTCCTTTGTCACACTTCTCTACTTAATGCACTATATATTCCAGCCCAGTTGAACGATTTGCTATTTCCTCATCTTTTTCTGTCTTCTGTCCTCTCTGCATTTGTGTATGACATTTTTCATCTTGGAAAGAGACTGTCCACATCTCTGCCTCTTGAAATCCTTCTCTTCCTCCGCGGTACGGCTCAGATGGCCCTTCTTCCACAAGACATTCATTGACTCCTTCGCAGAAGCGCTCCCTCCCTCCTCTCAAGTTCTCATGCCTCTGTGACCTCATCTCTGCCCTATTTAACTCTTAATTTGTGTATGGTTAACTCTGTACAGGTGTCATCTCTCTTAAGTTGTGAGCACCTTGAGGACTTTCATGGACTGTAATGTTTCACCTTTGTAAGCCCAGCACCTAACAGTGCTCTTGCATGCAGTAATAGGATCTGAGAGCCGCAAGTTTAGATGCGTGAGTAGCCTTTGAGGCCAGATAGTTAAACCCCTGGATTTTACAGATGAAGAAACTGAGGCTCACATAACCAGAGAGGTTACATGATTTGCCTAAACTCACATAGGTAGTAACAAATGTTTGCTGAATTGAATTGAAGACTCATTTTTGGTTCTCCTTCCTGTAGTATGAAAAGCCATATACTATTAAAGATGTACTGCTGCCTCTCAGACCAGTAGAGTCTAAGTCTGCCCGAGCCATTGTTGGACAAAGGCTACCCCTTGTTATGTCTCTGGTTACACTTTTAGCTGTGCCATGACATGATTACTAGAAATATTTGTGGGTTAATGAAGTTAAGATGATGAGTGTGCAATGAACCAAATTAAAAAGGACAGTGATGCATTGAGGAGAAACAAAATCTGATGTTCTTGGAGCCATACCTACAAGAGGTGTGCCTAGATAGTTCTCAAATAGATCTGGGGATTTTAATGGACTGCATGCTCAAAATGGATCAATAGGGTTATATTTGTTGAGTCATTTTTCAGTCGTGTCTGACTCTTGTGTTTTCTTGGCAAAGATACTAGAGTAGTTTGCCATTTGCTTCTCCAGTTCATTTTACAGATGAAGAAACTGAAGCAAGCAGGATTAAGAAACTTGCCCAGGGTCATGTGGCCCAGGGTCAAATCTGAGGTCAGATTTGAACTCATGTCTTTCTGATTCCAGGCCTGGCACTCTATCCACTGTACCATCTTGCTGCCCCAGCAGTGTTATAGAGTAGCCAAAAAAAAAAGCTAATATGATCTTAAAGTGCATTAGGAGAAAAATAGCATACCAGACCAAGGAAGGGATAATCTAGCTCTACTCAGCACTGTCAGATTGTGTCTGAAGTATCATCTTTAGTTCTGGGTGCCACATTTTAGCAAAAATATTGATAAGCAAGAAAACATGTAGAGGAATAACTCAGATCCTTGAGACCATTCCTTTTAAGGATCATTTGAAGGAAATGGGGATGATTTGTCTGAAGAAGAGAAGCCTCATGGAGAGGAAATGATCATTGTCTTCACATATTTAAAGGTTCATTGTACAGAAGGAGAGATTAGATTGTTTGGTAGTCTGTCACCTCAGAAAGAAGACAGAACTATTAGCCATGGATATGTAGCGGCCCTCTCTGAGATACCTTCCTACATTGTTCTTCAAGTCTCACCCCTTAAAGCTAAAGTTTGTGAGAAGGCAGCTGGGTGGCTTAGTGGGGCACTCTGCCTGGATTCAGGAAGACCTGAGTTCAAATCCAGCTTCAGACGCTCATTAGCTGTGTGACCTTGGGCAAGTCAATTAATCTCTGTTTACCTTAATCCCCTGGAGAAGGAAATGGCAAACCACTGCAGTATCTTTGCCAAGAAAACCTCATATGGTGTCACAAAGTC